CAGAACCAATTCCTGTAAAGCTTAGAGACATCTCATGTTAATACTGTTGAAATAATTGGCTAACAGTTATCTGCCTCAACTAAAGCCCAAATTTTTTAAAAGGGAAACCCGCTATAGACTACCAAGTGCTAACAGTCAGTATCTGGATAGCTTGTGAAATGACTAAAGTTCACGCTTACACCTATTCGGTGTGAAATGCTATAGACCATAGTAGGGAAACTGGGTAACGTGTGAAAGCTTTATAATTACACTAACAACCGGTCAAATGTTTTGAGCACCTACTCATTCAAGGTTTTGATTTTACATTTTGAAAATAGTGGACATAAAATATGTAAAAAACCCCATAATCATTAGGGGATAACTTATGGGGGAACTTGCCGTAAACCAACGGTTTATCCCAGTGGATCTTTGGTCCTTCCAAGACTACCCTAATTCTTCTTGCGCTTGGATAAACGTTGTAAATGTAAACTACGTAAAATTGAAAAAAAAAATTTAAACAAATCAAAATATAGTTGAAGATTTGAGATTCTTCAAAATAGCCACCCCTTGCTGATGACAGCTTTGACACTCTTGCATTCTCTCAACCAGCTTCATAGGTAGTCAACCGTAATGCATTTCAAATTTAAAAGGTGGCCTTCTTAAATTCATTTGTGGAATTTCTTCCTCTTAATTGGGTTTTTAGCCAATAGTTGGTTGTGACTAGGTAGGGGTAACAATTTAAACCATATATGCAAGAACACTCAAAAAGCAAAGCGAAACAATAACCATCATTACTTAGACGGAGGTCACCAATACGGAAAGTAAGGACTTTGAACGTTTTTCCCCTTTAAAGGGAGTTTCAAAAAAACCACAAGCGTATCATGAAAAATGGCTCTCATAGGGCCGCCACAGGGAAAGGAAGACCCGAGTTACCCCTGCTGCGAGGATTTCATTAGAGTTCCAGCCTCAGAATTGCCCCAAAAAAATTCTTTACAGAGTTTTTAAGTAACAGACACATCCAACATCAATTTTGAGGAAATTGTGAATCAAGGGGTTATGGGCGAATTGCTCATAGAAGCCTACCAAAGGACCCATAAAAGAAGGACTTTTTGGGCCCCAAAACACAAGCAAAGGACATTAGACGGGGAAATTTCCTTTGGGTTGGAGTCCAAATTGGCGATTTTTGGTTAATGCTGTGGCTTGGAGATGCTGTGTGGGTGAACAGATGATCCCCCATTTTTGTTTTCCCCCCTTAAAGCAGGGGAGGGGGGTGTTATGGTGGGGGTTTCTTTGCTGGTGACATGCGTATTAAATTTTGAATCAACCACCCTTAACCAGCATGGGTACCAAACATTCGCGCGTCGCCTCCCATCCGGTTTTTGGGGTTAGTGGGATATCATTTAATTTTAAAAAAGACAAGACCCAAAACCCCCCCAGGCTTTAAGGGCTATTTAACCCCGGAAGGGGGGTGTGGAGGTGCATCGATGACCGTGCCACCAAACCCCTGACTCAACCCAATTGAGGGGGTTTGGGTGCGTCGGCTGCAGAGTAAGGAAAAACAGCCAAAAGTGCCAGCATATTGGAACTCCTTCAAACTGTTTGGAAACATTCCGGGTGAAGCGGTTGGAGAATGCCAAAAAGCTTCATCAAGCAATGGGGGCTTTTGAAAAGTTTTAAAGTTTAATTTTTTGGTTACACATGATTCCCCATGTGTTTTTCATAGTTTTTATTCTTCATTTATTCTCAAGTGAAAAAAGTAAAAAAAAAAAGAGTAGGGGTGTCCAAACGGGTTTTACTGGTAGGTAGGTTTTTGTGTTTTTCATCCCGTATATTTTGGGGTAAAAATCATGCTAACAGAACAAAGGGTGTTCTTTAATGGAAAACCATCCAACATGACCAGGTGAACAGGAATTCCCCAGGGCAGTGGTCAAAGGGCCCCCTTTCTTTTTTCAAACTTTTCTAAGACAGCCCTCATTTTTAGTAAACCGTGTGTCTTGGGGGCGGAGATCAACACTAACACTCATTCTAACACGATGAAGACTCAACACTTAACAAAAACGCAGTTATTTTTAGAAGGGGGGCAATAAAAGTTATCCAAAATATTTCAAAAACTAAAGCATTTATTTTTCGACAAAAAAATTAAAACCCCAAACCCTTTTTTTAAAACCCAAAACTTTCCCGCAGGGCCCCCAACCGAGGCCTAAGGCCGATCGGGCTCTGTGGTCGACGCGTGAGCCCCCCCCCTAAAAATTTCTGGGAGTCTCTCTTCCCCGTGGGCCAGGCCTCTATAATTCTCGCCCAACTCTCGCTCTTCTGCTTCCAATCTCCGCCATTCAGGTCCTCATTCGAAGCTCTTCCTCCACTGTTCCCAAGTCCACCCACTCTGCTCCTCACTAGGCTGCTTGGTCCAGTTCTGGTGGTTTCTTCTGTCACGATCGTCTAAGGAGGAGGACCAATGCGCAGCGTTGAAGGTGAACATATTTATATTTATTAGAGTATGATCACACGATCAAAACAACAGACGAAAACGTGATGTCTACGGTTGAACACAAACCAAATAAGAACAAGAAACCACAAATAATGAATGCCTAACGGCTACCTAAGTATGACTCCCAATCAGAGACAACGAGCTACAGCCGTCTCTGATTGGGAGCCACCCTGGCCAACATAGATCTACAACAACTAGAACATAAACACATGAAAACTCACACCCTGGCTCAACATACTAGAGTCCCCGGAGCCAGGGCGTGACAGAATATGAATTCGGAGGACAGAAATTATTAAATATTAAAGCATTAGACCTATCACTAAAAGCTTCAGTCATACAAAAGTTATACTTAAATCCGAACTGGTTCTCAAGCAAATTAGTAAGATTGTCTCACCCAATGTTCAAGAATGGCCTTTTTCCCTTTATTCAGATTACAACCACTCATTTTCAGTTATTTGAAAAGGAAATCATCTCCCAAATATCACTATTTCTAAAACAAGCCATAGAAAGTTGGTTGCAATTTCAATGTAATCCTCCAGAAACGACAGAACAAATAATGCAACAAATATTGTGGTTAAATTCAAATATACTAATTGACATAAAACCTTTTATTTTTTGACAAAATGTTTAAAAAAGGTATAATCTTTGTAAATGATATATAATCGGTAGGACTGGTGGAGTTATGACGCACATGCAGCTAACAAAAACATGTGGAAATGTCTGCTCTACCCAAAATTACAACCAAATAATTGCAGCCTTACCGCAAAAATGGAAGAGGAAAGTGGAAGGGGGAGAAAGTAAGGAACTTGTCTGTCGGCCTTGCATTATAGAACATAATTGGTTAAGGAAAACTGTGATAAATAAAAAAGTATATCAGTTTCACTTAAGGACCAAAGGATTGACAGCCATCCCATATAGATTGCAAAATAGTTGGGAAGAGATCTTGTCACGATCGTTGAACGGAATAGACCAAGGCGCAGCGTGATGAACGAACATGTTTATTTATCTATAGTGATAAATACTGACAATGAACAAAACAACAAACGACTCGTAACGTCCTAGGTAACATAGACCAACACGGAACAAGAACCCACAAACACAAAGGGAAAAACAGACAGTTTAAATATGGCTCCCAATCAGAGACAACCAGCCACAGCTGACACTCGTTGCCTCTGATTGGGAGTCACTCAGGCCAACATAGAAACAGAACAACTAGAACCCCCAACATAGAAATATAACACATAGAATGAACACACCCTGGCTCAACATATAGAGTCCCAGAGCCAGGGTGTGACAGATCTTTGACGTACCGATCCCATGGCATAGTGTTTATGAACTGACACGCAAAACGACACCGGATTCAAAAATTAGAATCTTTCAATTTAAATTATTATATAAAATTATTGCTACCAATAGAATGTTATTTATATGGGGGATACAATCTTCCCAGCTCTGCAGATTTAGCTGTGAAGAGACAGAATCATTAGATCATTTGTTTTGGTTCTGTCCATTTGTAGCTTGTTTTTGGACACAGGTCCAGGAATGACTAAAGAATTGCAATATTTACCTGGAGCTAACCTTGCAGATAGCATTACTGGGTGATCTGAAAAGTAATAGTCAATCGATCAATAATATAATAATACTTTTAGCAAAAAAAAATATTTTTAATTCACAATCTGTAGAAGCAATGAGAATAGAAAGGTTCAGAACTTTTGTAAAACATCACAGTACGGTTGAAATATATATGGCAAATAGAAATCCTATATGGATGGTTTTAAGAGATAGATGGGAGGTATTGAATAGAGTTGAAGGATGGGACTAATAACAAATAACAACAAATAATAACAAAGATATATATATATATATATATATATATATATATATATATATATATATATATATATATATATATATATATATATAATATAATTATTGTAAAATTAACTGTGTCCATAAGGTGTAGATAGTAAGTATAGACTGGAAGTAGAGGCCTGGACATTGTTGTTCACTAATTTACTCCAAGTAGGGAAAGGATGGCGGGGTTGAAAAGTAATAAAGGGGAGTATATATATAAATAACATGGGGGATTGAAAGTGATGCAGACAATTACATTGATAGAAGATACAATCTATCTGCAATATTAAGCTGATCCATCCCCCCCAGAAAAAATAAATACAAAAATAAAAAATAATAATACATTTTTTTTTAAATAAAAACACTTGTCATGTCATCAGATCTGTGTGCCTTGCCACTTTTTAAGAAAGTGGACCTCTTCCTTTTCCTCTTCTCTTTTTAACTATCATCTCATCAAAGTTGCGCAATCATGACTCTTGCTAGAGGCTGGGGATTTTTTGCTTGTTTAATTCTGTGATATTTATGTAAAAGAGGCTAAACAAGTAAAGGTTAACCTCCTCCCCAGGCTTATTGCACAAACACATTGGACTGAAGTTTCATTATGAAACTTCAAATGTTTGTTTCTGGTATGCTTGGAAATAGTACAAAAATAAATTATGTTGATTGTGAAACAACAGACATGATAGGCCCAGGTCAAGGTACCATACAGCAGATAGGGTCACAGACCTGCTCACTGCGGCCTTGAGTTATGAGATATAGACTTGATTATGTCATGTTTAAAATTCTTATCAATATTCGTGACATTTGAATAAACATTTTAGGAGGAATAGCCTTAATTGGTTTTAGTCCCCTTAGGGGCTTGGACCCCTAATAATCTATATCTCCTCCTTCCCCATCCAGGAGCCCAAGAGACAGTGGACAGAGTTTGGAAAAAGACCAAGATGTTTCCCTACCAGCAGGTGTTAAAGGAGGGCTCCACTATCTTGTTCTGCTGTGTCCCTCCTAGAGGCGTCCACATCACCAATATGACCTTCAACTCCACCACCAGCTACCCCCTGATCAACATCACTCACCGAGTCACAGCCATCGCTGTCCACAACCTAAACATCACACAAGCGTCTGGCTCCGGGGTGTACTCCTGGTGTGAGGATACAACAGAGAAGAGGAACAACTACTGCTCCAACTTCATCAGCTGTTAGTATGGAGGAGAGTTTTCTTGCCCATCTGACCTCTGTCACAGGGCTTTCATAGAACTGTCATAACAATGTTATAGCAGATCTCACAAACGTTAAAGCAATTTACATTGTCCTAGGCATACGTTAGCCTGGTCATTCCTCCTATGCAGTGCCTTTTGGACCTCATACCTTATTAGGGAAAAAGTATACATTTAAAATATATATATAATTCTGTCAGAAAAAGGACGTTTGAAATTCAGAAAAACATATTGGTCAAACTCAGGCACATAAATCCTAATAATTATAGGCAGATTGTTCAAACATGGACCATCAGATATTTCCACCCTGTTAGGGGCATACACTAACTATCTGAAAGTGTTAACAATACATGTACTGCATATATCTAGATTTAGATTTTCTAAGACATCAAATGTCCCTTATCCTATCACATTCATTTTCCCCCCTTAAAATAATGATAAAACAATGATTATTGAGTGAAACATATGCTATTATCAGAAACAGCGCTTTATTTGCAGCCTCTTCTATCTCTACAAGGTTGCCAGAAAATGAATAACATTTGATGGTATTGTCAAATTATGATTTTAAAATACTGACCTAACAGGGTGGAATGAAGCATGACATGCTGGAAAGCAATAACAGGGTGGAACTACAGTGAGGGAAAAAAGTATTTGATCCCCTGCTGATTTTGTACGTTTGCCCACTGACAAAGAAATGATCAGTCTATAATTTTAAAGGTAGGTTTATTTGAACAGTGAGAGACAGAATAACAACAAAAACGAATGTCAAAAATGTTATAAATTGATTTGCATTTTAATGAGGGAAATAAGTATTTGACCCCTTCTCAATCAGAAAGATTTCTGGCTCCCAGGTGTCTTTTATACAGGTATTGAGCTGAGATTAGGAGCACACCCTTAAAGGGAGCAGTTTGTTAACTTGCTCCTAATCTCAGCTTGTTACCTGTATAAAAGACACCTGTCCACAGAAGCAATCAATCAATCAGATTCCAAACTCTCCACCATGGCCAAGACCAAAGAGCTCTCCAAGGATAATAATAATAATATGCCATCCTCTCCAAGGATGTCAGGGACAAGATTGTAGACCTACACAAGGCTGGAATGGGCTACAAGACCATCACCGAGCAGCTTGGTGAGAAGGTGACAACAGTTGGTGCGATTATTCGCAAATGGAAGAAACACAAAATAACTGTCAATCTCCCTCGGCCTGGGGCTCCATGCAAGAACTCACCTCGTGGAGTTGCAATGATCATGAGAACAGTGAGGAATCAGCCCAGTACTACACGGGAGGATCTTGTCAATGATCTCAAGGCAGCTGGGACCATAGTCACCAAGAAAACAATTGGTAACACACTACGCCGTGAAGGACTGAAATCCTGCAGCGCCCGCAAGGTCCCCCTGCTCAAGAAAGCACATATACAGGGCCGTCTGAAGTTTGCCAATGAACATCTGAATGATTCAGAGGAGAACTGGGCGAAAGTGTTGTGGTCAGATGAGACCAAAATGGAGCTCTTTGGCATCAACTCAACTCGCTGTGTTTGGAGGAAGAAGAAGGATGAGTACAACCTCAAGAACACCATCCCAACCGTGAAGCATGGAGGTGGAAACATAATTCTTTGGGGATGCTTTTCTGCAAAGGGGACAGGATGACTGCACCGTATTGAGGGGAGGATGGATGGGGCCATGTATCGCGAGATCTTGGCCAACAACCTTCTTCCCTCAGTAAGAGCATTGAAGATGGGTCATAGCTGGGTCTTCCAGCATGACAAAGACCCGAAACACACAGCCAGGGCAACTAAGGAGTGGCTCCGTAAGAAGCATCTCAAGGTCCTGGAGTGGCCTAGCCAGTCCCCAGACCTGAACCCAATAGAACATCTTTGGAGGGAGCTGAAAGTCTCTATTGCCCAGCGACAACCCCGAAACCTGAAGGATCTGGAGAAGGTCTGTATGGAGGAGTGGGCCAAAATCCCTGCTGCAGTGTGTGCAAACCTGGTCAAGACCTACAGGAAACGTATGATCTCTGTAATTGAAAACAAAGGTTTCTGTACCAAATATTAAGTTCTGCTTTTCTGATGTATCAAATACTTATGTCATGCAATAAAATGCAAATTAATTACTTAAAAATCATACAATGTGATTTTCTGGATTTTTGTTTTAGATTCTGTCTCTCACAGTTGAAGTGTACCTATGATAAAAATTACAGACCTCTACATGCTTTGTAAGTAGGAAAACCTGCAAAATCGGCAGTGTATCAAATACTTGTTCTCCCCACTGTATGTAACTGTAATTAGTAATTGTAATGAAATTAGCAACAAATCTGTATCTAAATATACATAAGATATAAATATATTATGCAAATACAAGTATATATTTGCATTAGTCATTTATTTACTATATTTTCTAACAACATTTCCACCCTGTTAGGTGCATTTTCCAGGTCGAACCTAACAGAGTGGAACCTAACAAGGTGGAAATTTGAAATAGCTCTGTGGGTGATTTAGATTGAGCTACAGTAGCATAATGGTAAACACTTTTAGAGGATTTTAAATTCTATATCAAACGTACTTTAACATTTTGAAATTTGAATCATTTTCTCTATAATTTAGCTTAACAGGGTGTATGAGTGAAACAAACAGATTAACATCATAAAACATGGAAAAATAGATAAAACCAAGTATTTATATTTGTGACCCGTTTCAAGAAGCTAGGCGTATGTCGCACGTCACTTTTATTTTTATTTGTATCAAAATGCGTTCTTTGGCAGAAATGCCTTTTGGAACATGTGAACTTTCATGTACCTTAATAACAAACGTGTATGCCATCTGTAAATACAAATACAATTGTTAAATTACGACCCTAGTTGGTTTAGTCACGGAAAAAGACAGGAACCTTCCTGCTACCCATGATTAGCAGAGATAATGGATGGGCTGGACATGCCGAGAGATAGGTTCAGATTGGTCTGCCATGTAGCACGCTTCTGTCTATAACATGAGCTGCTCAGTATGTGTAGATAATCCTTGCTACTGTGGCTTTAAAAAAACATATAACTTCAGCCATGGAGAAATGCAAAAGTGTTGCTACTGCTCTCAACAACATTGCTGCCCAGAATTTAGCAGGCGCTATCGACAAAGATCAGTGTGGAAAAGTTGTGATTGACTACTTTCTGCACACGGTCAGTGTGAACAACAACGGGCCAAATAAGCTGTAGCTAGCTACAAACCAAACGGGAAAAAACGTGTATACGGTTAAGAGTCTAGCTACATTTTCAGATATTATATGTTTATAATTTTGTCCGAAAGTTGTTTTCATTGCAAATTAAAGCAAAGACTTATCAATGACCCAAGCCCAGCTCATTTAATCCCCTACCATTGTGTCGCTAAATTTTCATAATGCTTCAGTAAATGTACATTATCCCAGGGAAGACACAATGTAAGTAACCTCATTTATGTTCCTCTTACTTCCCTGATTACCTCTGCTGATCCTACAGCTATTGTATGCAGTAATCATGTGCCTATGAACCAGAGTTATACTGTTAGCACTGAGGCGGTGTGCCCTAGCAGGAAGTCCACTGTGTGCAGCTCACCCAGGACTAACACAAATAATCTGAGCATGTCTACCTCTGCTAAGCTTCCAAGTAAAGCAATATAAACAATCAAGCATTCCAGAAAAGTGCTAAAAAATAGCCCACGTTAACATATGTAGCTTACGAAACAAGGTTCATGAAATCAATAATTTGCTAGTAACAGATGACATTCATAATCTGTCAATCTCTGAAACTCACTTAGATAATACCTTTGATGATACAGTGGTAGCAATACATGGTTATAAGATCTAAAGAAAAGTCAGAAATGCCAATGGTGGTGTGGCTGTTTATATTCAGAACCACATTCCTGTAAAGCTTAGAGACTATCTCATGTTAAATACTGTTGAAATAATATGGCTACAGGTTAATCTGCCTCAACTAAAGCCCATTTTGGAAGGAACCTGCTATAGACTACCAAGTGCTAACAGTCAGTATCTGGATAGCTTGTGAAATGACTAAAGGTTCATCTGCTTCACACCTATTCTGGTGTGAAGATGCTATAGACCACTAAGTAGGAATCTGGATAACGTGTGAAATGCTTGATAATGTACACTACCGGTCAAATGTTTTAGAGCACCTACTCATTCAAGGTTTTATTCTACATTGTAGAATAATAGTGAAGACATCAAAAATATGTAATACCACATATGGAATCATGTAGGGCGGCAGGTAGCTTAGTGGGTAAGAGCGTTGTGCCAGTAACCGAAAGGTCGCTGGTTCTAATCCCCGAGCCGACTAGGTGAAAAATCTGTCGATGTGCCCTTGAGCAAGGCACTTAACCCTAATTGCTTCTGTAAGTCGCTCTGGATAAGAGCGTCTGCTAAATGACTAAAACGTAAACGTAAAACGATGTAGTAACCAAAAAAGTATTAAACAAATCAAAATATAGTTGAGATTTGAGATTCTTCAAATAGCCACCCTTTGCCTTGATGACAGCTTTGCACACTCTTGGCATTCTCTCAACCAGCTTCATGAGGTAGTCACCTGTAATGCATTTCAATTAACAGGTGTGCCTTCTTAAAAGTTCATTTGTGGAATTTCTTTCCTTCTTAATGTGTTTGAGCCAATCAGTTGTGTTGTGACTAGGTAGGGGTACACATAATCCATATTATGGCAAGAACAGCTCAAATAAGCAAAGCGAAACAACAAACCATCATTACTTTAAGACGTGAAGGTCAGTCAATACGGAAAATGTAAAGGACTTTGAACGTTTCTTCAAGTGCAGTTGCAAAAACCATCAAGCGCTATCATGAAACTGGCTCTCATGAGGACCGCCACAGGAATGGAAGACCCAGAGTTACCTCTGCTGCAGAGGATAAGTTCATTAGAGTTACCAGCCTCAGAAATTGCACCCCAAAAAGATGCTTCACAGAGTTCAAGTAACAGACACATCTCAACATCAACTGTTCAGAGGAGACTGTGTGAATCAGGCCTTCATGGTCGAATTGCTGCATAGAAAGCACTACCAAAGGACACCAATAAGAAGAAGAGACTTGCTTGGGCCCAGAATCACAAGCAATGGACATTAGACCGGTGGAAATGTGTCCTTTGGTCTGGAGTCCAAATTGGCGATTTTTGGTTCCAACTGCTGTGGCTTTGTGAGATGCTGTGTGGGTGAACAGATGATCTCCGCATTTGTTGTTCCCACCTTAAAGCATGGAGGAGGAGGTGTTATGGTGTGGGGGTGCTTTGCTGGTGACACTGTCTGTGATTTATATAGAATTCAACGCACCCTTAACCAGCATAGCTACCGAAGCATTCTGCAGCGATACGCCATCCCATCCGGTTTGGGCTTAGTGGGACTATCATTTAATTTTCAACAAGACAATGACCCAACACACCTCCAGGCTGTTAAGGGCTATTTTACCAGGAAGGGGAGTGATGGAGTGCTGCATCAGATGACCGTGCCAACACAATCCCCTGAACTCAACCCAATTGAGATGGTTAGGGATGCGTCGGACTGCAGAGTGAAGGAAAAGCAGCCAAAAAGTGCTCAGCATATGTGGGAACTCCTTCAAGACTGTTGGAAAAGCATTCCGGGTGAAGCTGGTTGAGAGAATGCCAAGAGTGTGCAAAGCTGTCATCAAAGCAATGGGTGACTATTTGAAAATGTTTTGAATTGTTTATCACTTTTTTGGTTACTACATGATTCCACATGTGTTATTTCATAGTTTTGATGTCTTCACTATTATTCTACAATGTAGAAAATAGTAAAAAATAAAGATATGAGTAGGTGTGTCCAAACGTTTGACTGGTAGTGTATGTGTTATGTGTTTACATCCCCTGCTATATTGTGGATAAAGAGTCACCTGTCTAACAGAACACAGAGGGTGTTCTTTAATGGAAGCCTATCCAACATGATCCAGGTAGAATCAGGAATTCCCCAGGGCAGCTGTCAAGGCCCCTTACTTTTTTCAATCTTTACTAACGACATGCCATTCACTTTGAGTAAAGCCAGTGTGTCTATGTATGCGGATGACTCAACACTATACACGTCATCTACTACAGCGACTGAAATGACTGCAACACTTAACAAAGATCTGCAGTTAGTTTCAGAATGGGTGGCAATAATTAAGTTAGTCCAAAATATTTCAAAAACTAAAAGCATTGTATTTGCGACAAAACATTCACTAAACCCTAAACCTCATCTAAATTTTGTAATGAATAATGTGGAAATTGAGCAAGGTAAGGTGACTAAACTGCTTGGAGTAACCCTGGATTGTAAACTGTCATGTTCAAAACATTTTGATACAACAGTAGCTAAGATGGTGAGAAGGCTGTCCATAATAAAGCGCTACTATGCCTTCTAAACAGCACTATCAACAAGGCAGGTCCTACAAGCCCTAGTCTTGTGGTACCTGACCACACAACTGAAAGAGGGATTTAGGAAATTTGCAATTGGCTCAGAACAGGGTAGCACGGCTGGCCCTTTGATTTACACAGATATCTAACATTAATAATATGCAGGTCAATCTCTCCTGGCTCAAAATGGAGGAGAGATTGACTTCATCACTACTTGTATTTGTGAGAGGTACTGACATGTTGAATGCACGAGCTGTCTGTTTGAACTACTGGCACACAGCTCAGACACCCATGCATACCCCACAATACATGCCACCAGAGGTCTCTTCACAGTCCCCAAGTCCAGAACAGACTATGGGAGGCTCACAGTACTACATTGAGTCATGACTACATGGAACTCTATTCCACATCAAGTAACTGATGCAAGCAGTAAAATTAGATTAAAAAAACAGATAAAAATGTGCCTTATGGAATAGAGGGGACTGTGAAGCAACACAAACATAGGCACAGGCAGATGCATACAAACACACAATAATACACGCACTATACACACACGGACACATGGATTTAGTGTTGTAGATATGTGGTAGTAGAGTAGGGACCTGAGGGCAGAAACTTCATGTGTTGTGAAATCTGTTGTGAATGTATTGTACTGTTTTTTAAATTGTATGAACTGCCTTAATTTTGCTGGACCCCAGGAAGAGCAGCTCCTGCCTTGGCAGCAGCTAATGTGGGATCCAAAATAAATACAAATACAAATACAAAGCATACTGTTAGCTAGCTAGTGAACTTTAGCTTGCTGGTTCGCTAGCTAATGTTACATGAATGGTCTGTGTAGTAATATTATGTGTTTCTCAGAAATGTGCATTGCTAGTTATAGCCTAATGTTAGCTAGCTAGCTAAAACTTAAAACTGTGGCTGGGGGGTGGTTATAGCATTTCTTTCACATGACCCATCAATTTAGAGTGTCTGGGTTAGCATAATCTAATAATTATAAATATATATATATATATATATATATATATATATATATATATATATATATATATATATGTATAATGTTTTTATCTGGACACTTTCAAAGTCAGATTAGGATATGGGCCAAGGACTAGATAAAGTGTATTTTTACCTGGAGTTTTTCCTTATTGTAGGCTAGTACTTAAAGCACTTTTAGTCTTGAAAGCTTTGGTTGTTTACTACACTACCTTAGTCACTCTGTTTAGCACATGGCCTCATGTGAATCCTTAAAGAGATGGGTGGGGCTAAGTCTTAAGAGGGTGTGAACGATGCTGAATAGGTGTAAACAAAGAAGAGCTTTCCAGTGGGTGTACCAAAACATTCAAGGGCCATTTTCTAAAAAGTGTTAGGTTGATCAACTTTCAAAGCAGAATTACTTTCCCATTGTTCCTCAGCTGGAGTGTATGATCTACAATACCATTTTGTAACTCTGTGTCTTTTTTATCAAATGTAAAAAACACAATTTCTAATTTTGCTACATAAGACCAAATTGATGCGGTCGGTCACATTTATTTAGCTTTGCACATTGTTTTCGTACCAAAAAATTATGACACTTCCTGAATGTGATGTCATTTTTGGAAGGGGCTGTTTTTTTTAAGGGGAATTACTACAAACTAACAGGGTGGAAAGTGAAATCAGAAAATCTTAAATACAATAATAAATATAATAATCATGAAAAAAAAGTTTTTTGTGAGAGAGATTTTAAGTAGGATTATAAAACAACAAAGACAGATTTGGAATATTGTATTGTTTAATGGCTTATATTTCTCATAGAAATGGATGAATAGCACTCGGGATGTGGCAAAAACATCAACATCCACTAAAAACAAAATGCATAAAACTTCTCTTTGAGATCCATAACTTTGTGTTTTTATGCTAAAGGTCACCTAACTTTATATTTAAAGCCCTTTGGAATCCACATTTTACACTAAATAAGAGGTGATATTTCCTGGGGACAGAAAAGGCACTGCATTGTAGGAATGACCTAGCCAACTAAATACGTTTCATGACTGTGTTAATTCAGTTGCTCCACTGAAATTCCACATACGTCATTAAAGGTCCAATGCAGGCGGTCTTTTCAAACAGCTCTTACACTAAAATGACATTATTATAATTTGCACAATTTCACAGTATTATACTAACTTCATAGTTTGGAAAAATATAAAACATAGGAAAATCACTGTTTTGACTGCACTGGGCCTTTAAGACAATTGAAGCAAGAACCTACATTTTCTGAAGAAAATGTACCTTTTCTAGTTCACCTCACCATTACTTTATGTTTGTGATCCAGTTTCTCCCCAGAGGCTGGCGAACCTGAGCTGCGGGACTGAGGACCTGAGGACTGTTACCTGCACCTGGAACCCTGGTAGACCTGCTAACCTGTATGAACCCTACAGACGCACACATACCCTTCACATCAAGTGAGTCCACACACACACACACATGCACACGCACGTGCACGCATGCGCACACACACACACACACACACACACACACACACACACACACACACAAACTCGTATACAGTGGGGAAAAAAAGTATTTAGTCAGCCACCAATTGTGCAAGTTCTCCCACTTAAAAAGATGAGAGAGGCCTGTAATTTTCATCATAGGTACACGTCAACTATGACAGACAAAATGAGAAAAAAATATCCAGAAAATCACATTGTAGGATTTTTAATGAATTTATTTGCAAATTATGGTGGAAATAAGTATTTGGTCAATAACAAAAGTTTCTCAATACTTTGTTATATACCCTTTGTTGGCAATGACACAGGTCAAACTTTTTCTGTAAGTCTTCACAAGGTTTTCACACACTGTTGCTGGTATTTTGGCCCATTCCTCCATGCAGATCTCCTCTAGAGCAGTGATGTTTTGGGGCTGTCGCTGGGCAACACAGACTTTCAACTCCCTCCAAAGATTTTCTATGGGGTTGAGATCTGGAGACTGGCTAGGCCACTCCAGGACCTTGAAATGCTTCTTACGAAGCCACTCCTTCGTTGCCCGGGCGGTGTGTTTGGGATCATTGTCATGCTGAAAGACCCAGCCACGTTTAATCTTCAATGCCCTTGCTGATGGAAGGAGGTTTTCACTCAAAATCGTGGCTGGTCCCTTTGCAGAAAAACAGCCCCAAAGCATGATGTTTCCACCCCATGCTTCACAGTAGGTATGGTGTTCTTTGGATGCAACTCAGCATTCTTTGTCCTCCAAACACGACGAGTTGAGTTTTTACCAAAAAGTTATATTTGGGTTTCATCTGACCATATGACATTCTCCCAATCCTCTTCTGGATCATCCAAATGCACTCTAGCAAACTTCAGACGGGCCTGGACATGTACTGGCTTAAGCAGGGGGACACGTCTCGCACTGCAGGATTTGAATCCCTGGCGGCGTAGTGTGTTACTGATGGTAGGCTTTGTTACTTTGGTCCCAGCTCTCTGCAGGTCATTCACTAGGTCCCTCCGTGTAGTTCTGGGATTTTTGCTCACCTTGTGATCATTTTGACCCCACGGGGTGAGATCTTGCGTGGAGCCCCAGATCGAGGGAGATTATCAGTGGTCTTGTATGTCTTCCATTTCCTAATAATTGCTCCCACAGTTGATTTCTTCAAACCAAGCTGCTTACCTATTGCAGATTCAGTCTTCCCAGCCTGGTGCAGGTCTACAATTTTGTTTCTGGTGTCCTTTGACAGCTCTTTGGTCTTGGCCATAGTGGAGTTTGGAGTGTGACTGTTTGAGGTTGTGGACAGGTGTATTTTATACTGATAACAAGTTCAAACAGGTGCCATTAATACAGGTAACGAGTGGAGGACAGAGGAGCCTCTTAAAGAAGAAGTTACAGGTCTGTGAGAGCCAGAAATCTTGCTTGTTTGTAGGTGACCAAATACTTATTTTCCACCATAATTTGCAAATAAATTCATTAAAAATCCTACAATGTGATTTTCTGGATATCTTTTCCTCAGTTTGTCTTTCATAGTTGACGCGTACCTATGATGAAAATTACAGGCCTCTCTCATCTTTTTAAGTGGGAGAACTTGCACAATTGGTGGCTGACTAAATACTTTTTCCCCCCACTGTAGCTCCTCCCACCAGCCTCTTCTGGTGTTCTTTCTCTCAACGGATTATTAGCACGTTGAGGCATAATGATCAAACTGTGTCAGACACATCTCTTACCTATCCCTCCACTGTGTTTGTACAGGAATTCTGGTGAGGATCCTATCAAGTGTGGTGAGTGGTCCTGCAGGTTCCAGGCTGTCCCAGGCTTAGAGCAGTACGATGTCTCAGTGGTTGTCAGAAACCAGCTAGGAGAGGAGACACAAAGCTACAGCTTCAACATCACTGACAGAGGTGAGGACAGGAAATACTGAGAGAAATGTCATACAGCTCTTATATGATAACACTGTCTATGGCTAACATTCAATGATTAACGTCATTGAACACAGTATCCTATTGCTCCTAATTTATGTCCCTCTAAATGCCCTGAATGCCTCTGCTGATCCTACAGCTATTGTATGCCGTAATCATGTGCCTATGAACCAGATTTACACTGTTAGCACTGAGCCGGTGTGCCCTAGGAGGAAGTCCACTGTGTGCAGCTCACCCTGCACTAACATAAATTACATGAGCACACAAGCTTCCCAGTAAAGCAATATAAACAAGTAAGCATTCCAGAAGAAAAGTGCTCAAAATAGCCAACGTTAACGTACAGTGGCTTATGAAAGTATTCACCCCCCTTGGCATTTTTCCTATTTTGTTGCCTTACAACCTAGAATTAAAATTGATTTTGGGGGGGTTTGTATCATTTGATTTACACAACATGCCTACCACTTTGAAGATGCAAAATAATTTTTATTGTGAAACAAACAAGAAATAAGACAAAAAACGGAAAACTTGAGCGTGCATAACTACTCACCCCCTCAAAGGCAATACTTTGAGAGCCACCTTTTGCAGCAATTACAGCTGCAAGTCTCTTGGCAAATCTGCTCCAGCTCCTTCAAGTTGGATGGGTTCCGCTGGTGTACAGCAATCTTTAAGTCATACCACAGATTCTCAATTGGATTGAGGTCTGGGCTTTGACTAGGCCATTCCAAGACATTTAAATGTTTCCCCTTAAACCACTCAAGTGTTGCTTTAGCAGTATGCTTAGGGTCATTGTCCTGCTGGAAGGTGAACCTCCGTCCCAGTCTCAAATCTCTGGAAGACTGAAACAGGTTTCCCTCAAGAATTTCCCTGTATTTAGCACCATCCATCTATTCTGACCAATTTCTCAGTCCTTGCCAATGAAAAACATCCCCACAGCATGATGCTGCCACCACCATGCTTCACTGTGGGGATGGTGTTCTCTGGGTGATGAGAGGTGTTGGGTTTGCGCCAGACATAGCGTTTTCCTTGATGGCCAAAAAGCTCAGAGTACCTTCTTCCATATGTTTGGGGAGTCTCCCACATGCCTTTTGGCGAACACCAAACGTGTTTGCTTATTTATTTTTTTAAAGCATTGGCTTTTTTTCTGGTCACTCTTCCGTAAAGCCGAGCTCTGTGGAGTGTATGGCTTAAAGTGGTCCTATGGACAGATACTCCAATCTCCGCTGTGGAGCTTTGCAGCTCCTTCAGGTTATCTTTGGTCTTTTTGTTGCATCTCTGATTAATGCCCTCCTTGCCTGGTCCGTGAGTTTTGGTGGGCGGCCCTCTCTTGGCAGGTTTGTTGTGGTGCCATATTCTTTCCATGTTTTAATAATGGATTTAATGGTTCTCCGTGGGATGTTCAAATTTTCGGATATTTTTTTTTATAACCCAACCCTGATCTGTACTTCTCCACAACTTTGTCCCTGACCTGTTTGGAGAGCTCCTTGGTCTTCATGGTGCCGCTTGCTTGGTGGTGCCCCTTGCTTAGTGGTCTAAGGCACTGCATCGCAGTGCTATCTGTGCCACTAGAGATCCTGGTTCGAGTCCAGGCTCTGTCGCAGCCGGCCGCGACCGGGAGACCCATGGGCGGCGCACAATTGGTGCAGCGTCGTCCAAGGTAGGGGAGGGTTTGGCCGGCAGGGATGTGGGTTCGTTTCCCACGGGGGGCCAGTATGAAAAAATAAAAAGACATGTATGCATTCACTAACTGTAAGTTGCTCTGGATAAGAGTGTCTGCTAAATGACTAAAATGTAAATGTGTTGCAGACTCTGGGGCCTTTCAGAACAGGTGTATATATACTGAGTGTATATATATCATGTGACACTTAGATTGCACACAGGTTATCAGTCAACCTACCAGGGTAGTTACAAACAGCATTGGAATGAAATCATCAACATGTATTGATCACATCTTTACTAATGCTGCAGAAATTTGCTTGAAAGCAGTATCCAGATCCATCGGATGTAGTGATCACAATATAGTAGCCATATCTAGGAAAACCAAAGTCCCAAAGGTGTATAAGAGGTCGTACAAGAAGTTCTGTAGTGATTCCTATGTTGTTGATGTGAAGAATATTTGTTGGTCTGTGGTGTGTAATGATGAGCAACCAGATGCTGCACTTGACACATTTATGAAATTGCTTATCCCAGTTACTGATAAGCATGCACCCATTAAGAAAATGACTGTAAAAACGGATAAATCCCTGTGGATTGATGAGGAATTGAACAATTGTATGGTTGAGAAGGATGAGGCAAAAGAGATGGCAAATAGGTCTGGCTGTATAACCGATTGGCAAACATACTGCAAATTGAGAAATCATGTGACTAAACTGAATAAAAAGAAGAAGGAACTGCATTATGAAACAAAGATAAATTACATAAAGAATGATAGTAAAAAACTTTGGAGCACCTTAAATGAAACGGTCATTCATCACAAAACCAACAGATATTGCCAACTACTTTAATTATTTTTTCATTGGCAAGATTAGCAAATTTAGGCATGACATACCAGCAACAAATGCTGACACTACACATCCAAGTATATCTGACCAAATTAAGAAAGACAAGCATTGTAATTTTGAATTCTGTAAAGTGAGTGTGGAAGAGGTGAAACAATTATTGTTGTCTATTAACAATGACAAGCCACCTGGGTCTGGCAACTTGGATGGACAATTACTGAGGATAATATCAGACGATATTGCCACTCCTATTTTCCATATTTTCAATTTAAATCAAATCAAATTTTATTGGTCACATGCGCCGAATACAACAGGTGCAGACATCACAGTGAAATGCTTACTTACAGCCCTTAACCAACAGTGCATTTATTTTTAACAAAAAAGTAAAAATAAAACAACAACAAAAAAAGTGTTGAGAAAAAAAAGAGCAGAAGTAAAATAAAATAACAGTAGGGAGGCTATATATACAGGGGGGTACCGTTGCAGAGTCAATGTGCGGGGGCACCGGCTAGTTGAGGTAATATGTACATGTGGGTAGAGTTAAAGTGACTATGCATAAATAATTAACAGAGTAGCAGCAGCGTAAAAAGGATGGGGTGGGGGGGCAGTGCAAATAGTCCGGGTAGCCATGATTAGCTGTTCAGGAGGGAAGCAAAAGTCATTCCACTATCTAAGAATAGTAAAGCCCCCTTTACTGGCTCAAACAGATTTTGTATGTTTGCCCACTGACAAAGAAATGATCAGTCTATGATTTTAATGGTCTGTTTTAATGAACAGTGAGAGACAGAATAACAACAACAAAATCCAGAAAAACGCATGTCAAAAATGTTATAAATTGATTTGCATTATAATGAGGGAAATAAGTATTTGACCCCCTCTCAATCAGAAAGATTTCTGGCTCCCAGTTGTCTTTTATACAGGTAACGAGCTGAGATTAGGAGCACCTAATCTCAGTTTGTTACCTGTATAAAAGACACCTGTCCACAGAAGCAATCAATCAATCCGATTCCAAACTCACCACCATGGCCAAGACCAAAGAGCTCTCCAAGGATGTCAGGGACAAGATTGTAGACCTACACAAGGCTGGAATGGGCTACAAGACCATCACCAAGCAGCTTGGTGAGAAGGTGACAACAGTTGGTGTGATTATTCGCAAATGCAAGAAACACAAAAAACTGTCAATCTCCCTCGGCCTGGGGCTCCATGCAAGATCTCACCTCGTGGAGTTGCAATGATCATGAGAACGGTGAGGAATCAGCCCAGAACTACACGGGAGGATCTTGTCAATGATCTCAAGGCAGCTGGGACCATAGTCACCAAGAAAACAATTGGTAACACACTACGCCGTGAAGGACTGAAATCATGCAGCACCCGCAAGGTCCCCCTGCTCAAGAAAGCACATATACAGGAGATTCAGAGGAGAACTGGGTGAAAGTGTTGTGGTCAGATGAGACCAAAATCGAGTTCTTTGGCATCAACTCAACTCGCCGTGTTTGGAGGAGGAGGAATGCTGCCTATGACCCCAAGAACACCATCCCCGCCATCAAACATGGAGGTGGAAACATTATGCTTTGGGGGTGTTTTTCTGCTAAGGGGACAGGACAACTTCACCGCATCAAAGGGACGATGGACGGGGCCATGTACCATCAAATCTTGGGTGAGAACCTCCTTCCCTCAGCCAGGGCATTGAAAATGGGTCGTGGATGGGTATTCCAGCATGACAATGACCCAAAACACATGGCCAAGGCAACAAAGGAGTGGCTCAAGAAGAAGCACATTAAGGTCCTGGAGTGGCCTAGCCATTCTCCAGACCTTAATCCCATAGAAAATCTGTGGAGGGAGCTGAAGGTTCGAGTTGCCAAACGTCAGCCTCGAAACCTTAATGACTTGGAGAAGATCTGCAAAGAGGAGTGGGACAAAATCCCTCCTGAGATGTGTGCAAACCTGGTGGCCAACTACAAGAAACGTCTGACCTCTGTGATTACCAACAAGGGTTTTGCCACCAAGTACTAAGTCATGTTTTGCAGAGGGGTCAAATACTTATTTCCCTCATTAAAATGCAAATCAATGTATAACATTTTTTACATGCGTTTTTCTGGATTTTTTTGTTGTTATTCTGTCTCTCACTGTTCAAATAAACCTACCATTAAAATTATAGACTGATCATGTCTTTCTCTGTGGGCAAACGTACAAAATCAGCAGGGGATCAAATACTATTTTCCTTCACTGTAGTTTCAGAGTGGGTGGCAAGGAATAAGTTAGTCCTAAATATTTCAAAAACTAAAAGCATTGTATTTGGGACAAATCATTCACTAAACCCTAAACCTCAACTAAATCCTGTAATAAATAATGTGGAATTTGAGCAAGTTGAGGTGACTAAACTGCTTGGAATATCCCTGGATTGTAAACTGTCATGGTCAAAACATATTGATACAACAGTAGCTAATATGGGGAGAAGTCTGTCCATAATAAAGTGCTGCTCTACCTTCTTAACAGCACTATCAACAAGGCATGTCCTACAGGCCCTAGTTTTGTCGTACCTGGGCTACTGTTCAATCGTGTGGTCAGGTGCCACAAAAAAGGACAGGAAAATTGCAATTGGCTCAGAACAGGGCAGCACAGCTGGCCCTGGATGTACACAGAGAGCTAACATTAATCATATGCATGTCAATCTCTCCTGGCTCAAAGTGGAGGAGAGATTGACTTCATCACTACTTGTATTTGTGAGAGGTATTGACATGTTGAATGCACCGAGCTGTCTCTTTGAACTACTGGCGCACAGCTCGGACACACATGCATACGCCACAAGACATGCCACCAGAGGTCTCTTCACGGTCCCCAAGTCCAGAACAGACTATGGGAGGCGCACAGTACTAGATAGAGCCATGACTACAAGGAACTCTATTCCACACCAAGTAACTGATGCAAGCAGTAAAATTAGATTTAAAAAACAGATAGAAAAAACACCTTATGGAACAGCGGGGACTGTGAAGCAACACAAACACAGGCACAGACACATGCATAAACACCCATGATAACATACGCACTATACACACACTTATACATGGATTTTGTACTGTAGATATGTGGTAGTGGTGGAGTAGGGGCCTGAGGGCACACAGTGTGTTGTGAAATCTGTGAATGTATTGTAATGTTTTTAAAATTGTATAAACTGCCTTAATTTTGCTGGACCCCAGGAAGAGTAGCTGTGGCCTTGGCATTAGCTAATGGAGATCCATAATAAATACAAATACCACCTTTAGTGTAACACATTTTTGATCAACAGTGGTATCTAGATCATAAGATTTATTGTATTTGCATGCTGTGTGTGTGCAGTGTTCCCAGTCCCAGAGGGAGTGAGAGTGAGTCCAGGGGTGACTGAAGCCAACGTGTCCTGGGTTGTGAGGGGGAACCTGTCTGGGGTGGAGCTCTTATGCCAGGTCACAGCAGACCCAGTAGAGCCTAGGAGACAGACACGCCAGGCTGAAGCAGCAGACCTACAGAGCACATCCATGGTGAGGAAAACTCAGTCATTGACAGGTGACAAAATTAAATTATCAATATAGCTCACACTAGCTCATCAGCTTTGACAGAATGGTCTCTTGTCCATTCTGACATGTTTTTAGTGGCTATACTTCAAATGTGTGATTTTTTGTCTAGACTGATAGAACTACACCCCACTACCACTGATGGATCAGGGGTGTACTCACAAGGAAGCAAACGGAAGCAAACGGGACAAAATGGGGAAGGACCTACCTGAATTTGTCCAATAGAAACTCTTTGTTGCGCACCGTTTTTGATTGCAAAATGTTTTGCTACAGTTTGCATTAATGAATACACATCAGGTGTTCCAATGGGGTCTGATGTAAACCCAGTGACATTCTGTCTTGTCTTGTGGCTGTGTTAGCATCAGTTGTGCAATGGTGGCTCGGATGACCGTTGTGATGTCAGCCTGGAGCAGCTCTCGCCCAACACCCGTTATGCCACCAGGGTTCGTTGTGCTGTGAATGTGAACCTAGAGGGAGAGTGGACACAACCCACGCTCTTCACTACCTGTGAGTCCTATCATAGTGGAGTGGTGAAGTTACTGCTTTTTGAAGGTTTATTGATGGGTTGTTGAACCCTCTTCCTGCTTCTTTGTGCAGACCCCCTGGTGAGGCTGGATGTGTGGAGGAGGGTCAGATTGCTGTCCCATGGCCAGCGCAACGTCACTCTGCTCTGGACCCCGGTAAGGCCTGACTGCTGGATGAGATGAAGGAGAGGAGACGAGGAGAGAAAGCCAGTTCAGATTATTGGTTTATTGAGTGTTGAACCTGGTCTTACATTGTGTGATCAAATCTCAGCAGGCATTTGTTTTGTCCAGCACATGAACAACTCTCTCTTTCTCCTCAGCAATTCAGTGGCTCGGCGTCTAGTGTAAAAATCCAGGGCTACAAGGTACGCTGGAGGCAGGAGGGACACCAGTGGCTCCTGTGGAGGGATAGAGAGCAGACACAGACAGATATCTCCATTGGCCCAGGGCAGTGTGACATGATCATCCAGGCTGTTATTCAGCCTGGCTCCTCCCCCCTAGCCCACATCACCATACCTCCGGTGGAGAGAATAGGTCAGTTATCAACTCCTGTGGCAATAGAGGGCTTGCAGTTGCGTCACAAATCACCTAGCAACCACACCAGGCGCCATGTTAGATGACCAGAGTCAATCTAGTGGAAGTCCTGCAATCGTCCACATGGCTGGTTGCGTTTTGCTAGCAGCGGAAACTTCAGGAAGATTGCCCTTTATTTCATCTTTCTAAGGACCCAGAAAACAGATGCAGTGGGAGAACCTATTCAAGTAAGTAAATACACTGCTCAAAAAAATAAAAGGAACACTAAAATAACGCATCCTAGATCTGAATGAATGAAATAATCTTTGTAAATACTTTTTTCTTTACAAAGTTGAATGTGCTGACAACAAAATCACACAAGAATTATCAATGGAAATCAAATGTATCAACCCATGGAGGTCTGGATTTGGAGTCACCCTCAAAATTAAAGTGGAAAACCACACTACAGGCTGATCCAACTTTGATGTAATGTCCTTAAAACAAGTCAAAATTAGGCTCAGTAGTGTGTGTGGCCTCCACGTGCCTGTATGACCTGCCTACAACGCCTGGGCATGCTCCTGATGAGGTGGCGGATGGTCTCCTGAGGGATCTCCTCCCAGAACTGGACTAAAGCATCCGCCAACTCCTGGACAGTCTGTGGTGCAACGTGGCGTTGGTGGATGGAGCGAGACATGATGTCCCAGATGTGCTCAATTGGATTCAGGTCTGGGGAACGGGCGGGCCAGTCCATAGCATCAATGCCTTCCTCTTGCAGGAACTACTGACACACTCCAGCCACATGAGGTCTAGCATTGTCTTGCATTAGGAGGAACCCAGGGCAAACCGCACCAGCATATGGTCTCACAAGGGGTCTGAGGATCTCATCTCGGTACATAATGGCAGTCAGGCTACCTCTGGCGAGCACATGGAGGGCTGTGCGGCCCCCCAAAGAAATGCCACCCCACACCATGACTGACCCACCGCCAAACCGGTCATGCAGGAGGATGTTGCAGGCAGCAGAACGTTCTCTACGGCGTCTCCAGACTCTGTCACGTCTGTCACATATGCTCAGTGTGAACCTGCTTTCATCTGTGAAGAGCACAGGGCGCCAGTGGCAAATTCCAAACGTCCTGCACGGTATTGGGCTGTAAGCACAACCCCCACCTCTGGACGTTGGGCCCTCATACCACCCTCATGGAGTCTGTTTCTGACCGTTTGAGCAGACACATGCACATTTGTGGCCTGCTGGAGGTCATTTTGCAGGGCTCTGGCAGTGCTCCTCCTGCTCCTCCTTGCACAAAGGCGGAGGTAGCAGTCCTGCTGCTGGGTTGTTGCCCTCCTACGGCCTCCTCCACGTCTCCTGATGTACTGGCCTGTCTCCTGGTAGCGCCTCCATGCTCTGGACACTACGCTGACAGACACAGCAAACCTTCTTGCCACAGCTCGCATTGATGTGCCATCCTGGATGAGCTGCACTACCTGAGCCACTTGTGTGGGTTGTAGACTCCGTCTCATGCTACCACTAGAGTGAAAGCACCGCCAGCATTCAAAAGTGACCAAAACATCAGCCAGGAAGCATAGGAACTGAGAAGTGGTCTGTGGTCACCACCTGCAAAACCAGTCCTTTATTGGGGGTGTCTTGCTAATTGCCTATAATTTCCACCTGTTGTCTATTCCATTTGCACAACAGCATGTGACATTTATTGTCAATCAGTGTTGCTTCCTAAGTGGACAGTTTATTTCACAGAAGTGTGATTGACTTGGAGTTACATTGTGTTGTTTAAGTGTTCCCTTTATTTTTTTGAGCAGTGTATATATTTTTTATTATAAAAAAAAATATATGTATTAAAGCTAGCTACAGGAACTTATTGTGCAGGCTAACTAAAATGAGCTGCTAGCTTTACATACGGTATAGCTAGCTAAGTGAATTAAACATCACCATCTAACAATGAGCTAACTTCATATTAGCCAATTAGCTATCTTTTGATGTATTTATCATTGTAATTTAAAAACTCAAACTCAAAATGCATTTGTAGCTAGGTAGCTAGCTAGCTAAGAGCCATGGGGTAGGGTGAAAGGATTAGCTAGCAGTTCCAGCTGTCAAATAAGGGAGAGAGTAGGCTACTCTGGATAGGGGAGGTACCTTTGTGGGAGGACATTATGAAACAATTCTCCAGTTCAAGTCCCTAGTGATAAACATGGTCATAACCATGTCATAATATGTCATAACAGCTGACATAACTTGTCATAACCTGTCATAATATGGTCATAACACTGTCATGTGACATATATTGCGTTATTTTATGGCTGGTTATGACACCTACATGAGAATGTCAAAACCAACAAAAACTCCCACGGTAATAATTTTATGGCTGGTTATGACACCTACATAAGTGTCAAAAAAAAAAAACACTTTCAAGCTAAGGGAAACTTCTTGGCAGGGAAAAAAACTACATTTGAATAAATGTGGGTTTTGAAACTCTTACAGTATGTAGGTGTCATAACCAGCCATAAAATAACGCAATATATGTCACAACAGGTGTAAACATATGGGCCATGACAGTGTTATGACCATATTATGAAAGATAATGACAAGATATGTCAGCTGTTATGACATATTATGACATGGTTATGACCGTGTCATAACGTGTTATGACGCTGGGTGTCAAGTAAAGTGTTACCCTTCTTTTTGTTCACTTAAAATTATGCTTTAGTAATAATAGCCTACTTGTTACTAAGATGTCTAACTTTACATATGAGTTAGAATACTTGTACACTTTGAAATTATATGAGTGTTGATTCTTTGAAGGGAAGTGTTTAAACTTGTTTTAATTGTTACCTTAAAACTATTAAAGATGAACTAGTGTCAATGTTGATTAATTACAGATCACAATCCTGCAGTAAAGAGGGGAAGGGAATCTCATGAATTTCTCTGTGTTTCTGTGTTGTATTCTCAAATGAACATGACCTACCTTTTTGTTCAGTTGTAAGCTCTCCAATTAGTTTTATTTGATTGTCAATCTTTTTTCAGGATATCAGCCATGTGAACCCATTTTGCAGCTGATGATAATGGCGTGCAACAACAATGCAGCCATAAGCCTACAGCAGTGGTTCCTAACTCTAGGCCTCGAGTACCCCCAACAGCACACATTTTGGTTGTAGCCCCGGACAAACATACCTGATTCAACTCATTGAGGGCCTGATGATTAGTTGACAAGTTGAATCAGGTGTTTTTGTCCAGGGCTACAATACAAATGTGTACTGCCGGGGGTACTCAAGGACCGTAGTTGGGAACCACTGGCCTACAATATGATGGCATTAGCCTTATGGGCATTTGCAATGCACCCCTTGACATTGCGCTTCTGAAACAGAATAGCTGAATTTATACATTGTTTATATATTGTTGAGATACATGTATATCTTCTCAATTTAAAAATGATACCAGTAGACAACGTATGAGGCTAATCATTATACTAGATGTTGTACATGCCTTGAGCTGACATGAAATTGTTTAGTGCAAATCCAACCCTTGTAATCTAGGTAGTGAAATGTCTGGAAGCAGGAGATGATGGGATCATTTGCTTAAAACATATACACAACTACTTCTATCAAGTTCAATGCCAGATTCTTTTTTCTCCCAAAAGGTCTGAGTGGCACTTGGAGGTACCACTGTGATAATGAAGATGGCTTGCCTAAGACTACCACAACAATTCAATTGTCTAAATGTGTATAAATTGAAAAAGAAAGAGAGAATAGTTAGGCTATAAAAAAATACATTTTATTCAATGGCGCAAGGCACCCATACAACAATATAGCCTATTGTTAAAGTACAGTATGTTTATAATTTTCATAAACAATAGTATTTTACATGTTGTTCCAAATTACATTTTATATATTCATATGGTTTAAGGGGTCGCTTTTGTTAATAATAATAATAATATGCCATTTAGCAGACGCTTTTATCCAAAGCGACTTACAGTCGCGCGTGCATACATGTTTATATTATTATTATTATTATATCTTCACAGTGGGAATCCAGTTGACATGGGTGTCTAGATAGAGGTCAGCTGGTGAACCTACAGTACATAAAGAAATGAAAAGCACACATGATGTTAGAATAGCACTTCTTCAGGTCAACTATACCATCAGGGCTCTTGATTATTTGGTTGTGTTTAATTCATTCAGGTGTTTTAGTGTCATATAAAGATTAAATATATTGTTTGGCCGGAACAACCAATAGTCAACACAGCAGGTTGTCCTATCCCATTGAGGCATTTGTTCTATGCTGTGACATTTCAGCTGTCAGGGTTCAGGTCTTGACAGGCAAAAAGGTTTCTTCGCTTTTCTGACAGTTCTTGAGTCTTATCTCCTCTGTGTACATTTTTTTTCTTCTGTTGTCTTTCCTGCCTTGTTAGAACCGTCAAATACTGCACAGAAAATGACCGCGGTGATGAATCAACAAATTCTAGGCGCTGTTACCATGCAGTTTGGGGTAGCCACTCAGCTGTTGTTGTCGGAGTAATTAATGCGATGGTCTTCCAACATGGCCGCCAGGAGGATTCGTACGTCAACTGCAAGCCCTCTATACCTGCCTGCTTTGTGCCAACACCAGTACCAAAACGTCCGTACCAACGTATTTTCCAATTCTTGTGCTGAAACCTGTTCTGATACCTGAGCCAACTTTCTTGTCTTACTTCTGTTACAGTTGTACACAGGTTGCTCTTCTTTGGGCCTACAGCAGTTCTGTAAGTGAGACTATCTCTAGCTCTCTTATTGTCTTTCGTCCAGAGTCTCCTCGGAGTGTCACGCGTGTGAGTGGCAGTGCCAGCGGAGGGTTCCACCTCATCTGGGAAGAGCAGGAAGCTGTCACTTGTGGGTACACTGTGGAGTGGTGCACAGTGGGAAGCGGAGTTCCCTGCATTCTGCAATGGAGGAGGGTGCCAGTGGGAAACACGTCAGTGTCCCTACCAGCAGGTATCACACAACAGGTTTTCACACACCACCATTTCCCTTGTTGGTAACATTTTACACGAAGTTGCTGTCTAGTAATGCTGTAATTACAGTAGTAACAAGGAAAAAGGAAACCGTCCAAATTCTGTTTCAATTTAAAGCCTACCCTGCACTACTTTTTAGTTACGATATGTCTATTTTGCAGGAGATTTTAAAGCGGGCCATAGGTACACCTTTGATATATATGGCTGCACTGACGAAGGAGACAAACTACTGGGGATCCGCACTGGCTACTCCCAAGAACTCAGTGAGTGGGTTACGCTGTGATTATGTGGTGTGATAAATAAGGTTGTGGAAGTTGTAGGGGGTGTCTCTCTCTCTCTCTCCCGTTCAACCCCTTCCCCTCTCTTTCTCTCTTCCTCCTTTCTCTCAACCTACAGAGCCTGTCCAGTATCCCAGGCTGGTTGAGCCTGTTAGAAGAACTTCCTCTTCTGTGACACTGGAGTGGCGTTACCATGAGGACGACCACTCTCACCCAGGGTTCATCACTGGTTACTTGGTAACCGTGTACGAGGCCTGGTCCCAGAGGTCACCAGGTCATGTGCCAAGTGGGTATCATCAATGTCATGGGTAACAAGCAATTCAATTTAAGAGAAGTCATGAGAAGATTTGTTCCTCTGACACACTGTATTTCCTGTTTCTAGGTCCTTTTACCAAGATGGTGGCGGACCCCCACAATAAGTCTGTAACCATAGCAGGACTGCAGGAGCACCAGAAGTACACCTTCCATCTGTGTGCACTCACTAATGCTGGACCAGGCCCGCAAACTACCATAACTGTCAGGACCCAGACAACCCGTGAGTCCAACTCTGGCTGGAGCATTCTAGGGGAAGGGGCAGACTGGGTCATACTGAAATTACCTTATTAAAACCTCTTAAATGTTAAGTCCCCTATTTAGGGGACTTTGAGCGGTTCTGGACTGGTTCCGACCGACATTTCTGTGTACAGAACGCTCTGTTAAACGGCGCAGCATCAACTGTTGTGCACACCATGAAAGTTCTGGTTGTCCCGCTTCACATGCCGCTCTCAGCTCTCATCTGAGATGCAGTTGGTGAAATATGACACCTCATTTGCATAGGGAGTGAAAAGTCCAATTTTCTGGCCTATCCAGACAAAGGATCGATTTCCTCTGGCTGTGAACTGCGCAGCTCAGCATACGATAGGCATATGAACAGGGAGACCCTAGCGATTGCAGCAAAGGCAGTCTCATCTCGCTGTGATGTTCTCAGATGGATTTAGAGTTCTCAACATGAAAAAAATACAAAATCATTTCATGGAATTGAAACAAGACCACATTCTCTTGGTCACAGAGGGATGAACTCACTGTGCTTAAAGCTGAAGTCAGCAGGCATTTGAATGTCGTCTCTGCGTCACTCAGAGGATGCTGGGCAGAAAATGCTCTGTCATCAGTTATATTAAATGGTGCCAATTTTGTACTTTCAATAAGTATGATCATATTTATTTGACAGTTATAAGAAAGGTGAAATATTATAATAAGTCATTTATAACTTGATTGTTACTATATTTAGAATTTCAATCATTTCATGCCCTATTCCCCCAATTTCGTTGAATAGGAAAAAAAATCATACTGTGTACTTTGTGTCCTCAAAAGTGACTGCATGTCAGCAATGTATAAATATTTTTTACCAGAAAGGTGAGATTTTGATCTTTCTGGCAGTACAGTAGTTACTAGGTATTGTTTATGGCTCTCTCATGATAAACAATAACTTTTGGGTATGTCTATTTAGGTGGGATTCTACTTTTTGACATTACATTTAACCTGTGAAATAAAGCCTCATTTCCCGTAGACACTCAATTATGTGGGGTGTTGCTCACTCTTTTTAAATCTGAAAGCACATTTGTATTTTGGATCATGACATTCTGAGCCCAGTAGTAATGAACTGGTGTAACAGTATGTGCTGCTGTGTCCTGTGACAGCCTCTATTCTCCTGGCTAAGATCTTAACTCCTCTCCTGCTGCTGTTGGGGCTCGCCATCCTCCTGTGTCTATTCTGGAAAATGTGAGACACTTTAAACACTATCCATTCAACATAATCATGCAGAATTCATTTTTCAAGATTAGCATTGGTCCTATGGCATCCTTAACAGTCAATGTGTAATGTGAACCCTGTCTAACCTCCTCTGTGGCTATCCTCCAGGCTGAGGAGTTGTATAGTGGAGGTGTTTGGGTACCCGGCTGGGATGAACATCAAACCCATTGAACTGGACCACCACCTATATGAGGTACAGTGCAGTTCTATACAGGCTTTCATATGTCTCATGTCTCGTGTGTCTGAAGTTGATGAGTACTGCCTCTTTGTCCGACGTGTTTTCTCTCATTTGGATTTACCTTAAACAGATGACAATAAACAGATGTACAGCATGTTATAGTCATAATTATTGTTTTGCAATCTGATAAAATGACTGTGCAACTTCTTGCCTGATTCCATTCATCCTCTATTCTGTCCATACCATCTACAGACCAGTGAGAGGCTGCGGTGTCTCAAGGTGGGGGACTGTGTCTGCAGTGACATCGAGATCCTGAGTGTCAGGCCAACCATGTCAGAGAGGACGCCTCTCATTCACCCCAAACTCCCCCACCTTTCTTTGTCTTCTTCCTCTTTCACCACCATTCCCTCCTCTTCATCCTGCCCTGTGCACCCTTCCTCCTCTTCATTCATGTCTTCCTCCTTGACCACCCTCTCACCTTCCTGCCCATCCCCTTCTACTCAACACCTGCACCAAAAAGGGTACTGTCCACAGTCACCCACAGAAGTCTGGGATAGCTCAGTATGGACAAGCCTCACAAATATAAGTTATGTTCCCTCTATGGGAGCGGCGCAGTCCATTGAGATGAAACCAATCAGAGTCACAGACAGCAGTGACATCTCCAGCTCACCAATCAAGCTCTCCAATCTCATCACCAGTGAGCCTTCTGAGGGGCCGCAGTTACAATCAGGGGCATTATTGGAGAATATTGATGGATACATCACCACTGACTCCTTAGTTAAGTCAATGACTGTATATATGAATGGACAAAGCCATTGATCACGTTACACCATTCATTCCTATTTGAAGACTTAATAGCGCACTGAAGCCAAATTAAGTCGGTCATGGAGACATAACATGCTTAGTTTGAACTACTCCAGGAAGTGACGTTGCAGGCTAGCTCAGTGCTGCACCCTCTCATTGAGTAACTTAAGTTGAAGGCCTGCTGGCTGCCGTTAGCAACTAAATGATCCTTATAAATCAAATCAAATTGTATTTGTCACATGCTTACTTACGAACCCTTTACCAACAATTCAGAGATAAAAAGTAAGAAAGAAAATGCAAAGAAAAAAGAAAAAAAAGGAAATAGTAACACAATAAAATAACAATAACGAGGATATGTACAAGGAGTACCGATACCGAGTCAATGTGCAGGGGTATGAGGTAGTTGAGGTAATTTAGATAATATGTACATGTAGGTAGGGATAAAAGTGACTAGGCAATAAGGATAGATAATAAACAGCATAGCAGCAGCGTTTGTGAAGAGTGTGAAGTGTGTCTAGGTGTGAGTGTGTGTTTGTGTGGCGTCAATAGGTATGTGTGTGAGTATTTTGTGTGTGTGAGCGCATGTAGTGTGTGTGTGTGTCTATGTGTGTCTTGGAGTGTCAGTGTATTATGTGTGAGTGAGTATAGAGCCAATGTAAGTGCTAAATAAAGGTGGGGGGGGTTAATGCAAATAGTCTGGGTAGCCATTTGATTAGCAGTCTTATGGCTTGGGGGTAAAAGCAGTTCAGGAGCCTTTTGGTCCCCGAGTTGGCGCTACGGTACCGCTTGCCATGCGGTAGCAGAGAAAACAGTCTATAACTTGGGTGGCTGGAGTCTTTGACAATTTTTTGGGCCTTCCTCTGACAGCGCCTGGTATAGATGTCCTGGATGGTACGGAGCTAAGCCCCAGTGATGTACTGGGCCGTACGCACTACCTTCTGTAGCGCCTTGCTGTCAGATGCCATGCAGTTGCCAAACCAAGCGATGATGCAGCCAGTCAAGATGCTCTCAATGGTGCAGCTGTAGAACATTTTGAGGATCTGAGGGCTCATGCCAAACATATTCAGCCTTCTGAAGAGGCGTTGTCGTGCCCTCTTCACGACTGTGTTGGTGTGTTTGGACCTTGATAGGTCCTCAGGGATGTGGACACTGAGGAACGTGAAGCTTTCGACCCGCTCCACTACATGTGAATGGGGGCGTGCTCTGCCCTCCGTTTCCTGTAGTCCACAATCAACTCCACAATCAAATGTTATACTGTAACCTCTTCTGTGTGCGATTTTAAAATAATAATAATAAGGACACACACCACATGACCAAAAGTATGTGGACACCTGCACGTTGAACATCTCATTCCAAAATCATGGGCAATAATATGGAGTTGGTCCCCCCTTTGCTGCTTTAATAGCCTCCACTCTTCTGGGAAGGCTTTCCACTAGATGTTGGGACATTGCTGCGGGGACTTGCTTCCATTCAGCCACAAGAGCATTAGTGAGGTTGAGCACTGATGTTGGGCGATTAGGCCTGGCTCACAGTCGGCGTTCCAATTCATCCCAAAGGTGTTCGATGGGGTTGCGGTCAGGGCTCTGTGCAGGCCAGTCAGTCAAGTTCTTCCACACCGATCTCGACAAATAATTTCTGTATGGATCTCGCTTTGTGCACGGGGGCATTGTCATGCTGAAACAGGAAAGGGCCTTCCTCAAACTGTTGCCAGAAAGTTGGAAGCACAGAATCGTCTAGAATGTCATTGTATGCTGTAGCGTTAAGATTTCCCCTTCACTGGAACTAAGGGGCCTAGTCCGAACCATGAAAAACAGTTCCAGACCATTATTCCTCCTCCACCAAACTTTACAGTTGGCACTATGCATTGGGGCATGTTGCGTTCTCCTGGCATCCGCCAAACCCAGATTCGTCCGTTGGACACCAGATGTTCATCACTCCAGAGAATGCGTTTCCACTGCTCCAGAGTCCAATGGCGGCGAGCTTTACATTACTCCAGCCAACGCTTGGCATTGCGCATGGTGATCTTAGGCTTGTGTGTGGCTGCTCAGGCATGGAAACCTATTTCATGAAACTCCCAACGAACAGTTATTGTGCTGACGTTGCTTCCAGAGGCAGTTTGGAACTCAGTAGTGAGTGTTACAACCGAGGACAGACAATTTTTATGCGGTTCAGCACTCTGCGGTCCCGTTCTGTGAACTTGTGTGGCCTACCACTTCGTGGCTGAGCCGTTGTTGCTCCTAGATGTTTCTACTTCACAATAATAGCACTTACAGTTGACCGGGGCAGCTCTAGCAGGGCAGAAATTTGATGAACTGACTTGTTGGAAAGGTGGCATCCTATGACGGTGCCGCGTTGAAAGTCACTGAGCTCTTCAGTAAGGCCATTCCTACTGCCAATGTTTGTCTATGGAGATTGCATGGCTGTGTGCTCGATTTTATACACCTGTCAGCAACGGGTGTGGCTGAAATAGCCAAATCCACTAATTTGAAGGTGTGTCCACATACTTATATTAGAAGCAATTATTGGTACCATGATTGTCTTCTAAATATTAGTGTATTTACACAGACAGACCATGAAGATTGCCATTTTTCCATTCACTATAATGGGGATCCTGTTTTCTGCAAACAATGCCTGCAGTACCGCGGTCGGCCTTGAACTTCCGTGCTTCAATGACAGGGGGCAGTCGTTCTCCCCTGAGTTAAGTAGTCAGTCTGATTCTGAAAGGTCAGGGGTCAAGATCTGTTGGTGGGATATTTTGCTGTGAAGATGACAATTACATGTATGTACAATGTGTAGGGTTCAAATAACACATTAATAATTTGAGCTGCTCTGAAAAAAGTGGGTTGGACCAAAGTTTTTACAGAAGTTTTATGCATATGGTGATGTCCTGATTTGTACTAGTTCCATTATTTTAACCTGGACTGTGTGTTGTTGTGTTTAGGGCAATGAAAAATGTGCATAATGTGTTCTATTTATATTGTGTACTATATCTCATGTAAATAGACTCATTCACTTTCTCAGATTAAAGTATGTTAAATCCATTAGGCATATTCAATCCACGCCAATATGTCCACACCATCAACTCCCTGCTCTTAAGTAAATATGATTGTCTGTAGAAGTGTATTCTTTAACATTTTGAGGCCCTTCAGATCTACACAACTTACTCAATACTCATGTTACTCATCATATTCCTCTCTCCGCATTGCCCGTCTGCAGTGCAGACCTTTGAAAATGTTGTGGTTGTGAAACCGAAAGAATATTGCCTCAACAAGCTGATTAGCCAACATCCTCTCAGTATCAAATTTAAGATCTGAGGGGAAATGGCTCCATACAAACCGCTGGGGTGAATGTGAATCATAAATGCAACTTCAATAATATCTTTCTAAGGTCTGTCTAAGCTACTGTATACTCTCATATAGGGGCTAAGTTCGAGGGTTAATTGTAGCCTACATAATTTTTTAACAGCCGTTACAGTTCAGAAACCAAATACCTTAGATTAGATGTCATTCCATGCGACCTGGAATCAGGGGTAGACGTTAACATTGTAAATGTAAATCCGGGACAATCCAATTAGTATGATATGTTACGTTTCGTATGGTATGTATTAATTTGTGGATGTCCATCATCCATTTTCTATGATATGTTACGAATTCCAATTTGTTGTGGCTAATTTAGCTAGGTGGCTAATGCTAACATGTGGGTTTTTTCATCGTTTAACACAATTCCATATGTATTTCATAACCCCTTATTTTGAGGGCCTAGTTTTATCCTTGTAAATGGGCATGAAAGCCACAATGTCAAATCAAAATAAAATTGTATTGGTCGCGTACACATATTTTGCAGAAGTTATCACAGGTGCAGCGAAATGCTTATGTGTCTAGCTTCAACAGTGCAGTAATACATAACAATACAAAACAATACACTCAATCCAAACAATAAAAATTAAGAAATTAAGAAATATCAGAAAGAGCAATGTCAGAGTCCGGCATTGGTGTGAAATAGACAGTATGGACAGTATATGAACAGAAAAGGTTTGTACAGCAGTAGTTAGATAGGCTAGAATACAGTATATAAATATAAAGTGGGTAAAACAGTATGTAAACATTACTAAACACCAGTGTTCAATGACTATGTACATAGGGCAGCAGTCTTTAAGGTGCAGGGTAAAGCATCGGGTGGTAGCCAGCTAGTAACAGTGACTAAGGTTCAGGGCAGGGTAGTTGGCGGAGGCCGGCTAGTGCTGACTATTTAACAGTGATGGCCTGGAAATAGAAGCTGGTTTTCAGTCTCTCGGTCCCAGCTTTGATGACCAGTACTGTCTACGCCTTGTAGATGGTAGAGGGGTGAACAGGCCGTGGCTCGGTTGGCTGACACCCTTGATGATCTTCTTAGCCTTCCTGTGACAGCGGGTGCTGTAGATGTCCTGGAAAGTAGGCAGTGTGACCCCGGTGATGTGTTGGGCTGACCGCACCATCCTCTGGAGTATATTGTGTACTATATCTCATGTAAATAGACTCATTCACTTTCTCAGATTAAAGTATGTTAAATCCATTAGGCATATTCAATCCACGCCGATATGTCCACACCATCAACTCCTTGCTCTTAAGTAAATATGATTGTCTGTAGAAGTGTATTCTTTAACATTTTGAGGCCCTTCAGATCTACACATCTTACTCAATACTCATGTTACTCATCATATTCCTCTCTCTGCATTGCCCGTCTGCAGTGCAGACTTTTGAAAATGTTGTGGTTGTGAAACCGAAAGAATATTGCCTCAACAAGCTGATTAGCCAACATCCTCTCAGTATCAAATTGAAGATCTGAGGGGAAATGGCTCCATACAAACCGCTGGGGTGAATGTGAATCATAAATGCAACTTCAATAATATCTTTCTAAGGTCTGTCTAAGCTACTGTATACTCTCATATAGGGGCTATGTTCGAGGGTTAATTGTAGCCTACATAATTTTTTAACAGCCGTTACAGTTCATAAACCAAATACCTTAGATTAGATGTCATTCCATGCGACCTGGAATCAGGGGTAGACGTAACATTGTAAATGTAAATCCGGGACAATCCAATTAGTATGATATGTTACGTTTCGTATGGTATGTATTAATTTGTGGATGTCCATCATCCATTTTCTATGATATGTTACGAATTCCAATTTGTTGTGGCTAATTTAGCTAGGTGGCTAATGCTAACATGTGGGTTTTTTCATCGTTTAACACAATACCATATGTATTTCATAACCCCTTATTTTGAGGGCCTAGTTTTATCCTAGTAAATGGGCATGAAAGCCACAAAGTCAAATCAAAATAAAATTGTATTGGTCGCGTACACATATTTTGCAGAAGTTATCACAGGTGCAGCGAAATGCTTATGTGTCTAGCTCCGACAGTGCAGTAATAAATCAAATCAAATCAAATCAAATTTTATTGGTCACATGCGCCGAATACAACAGGTGCAGACATTACAGTGAAATGCTTACTTACAGCCCTTAACCAACAGTGCATTTATTTTAAACAAAAAAAGTTAAAAATAAACCAACAACTAAAAAAGTGTTGAGAAAAAAAAGAGCAGAAGAAAAATAAAGTGACAGTAGGGAGGCTATACAGTGGGGAGAACAAGTATTTGATACACTGCCGATTTTGCAGGTTTTCCTACTTACAAAGCATGTCAGAGGTCTGTACTTTTTATCATAGGTACACTTCAACTGTGAGAGACGGAATCTAAAACAAAAATCCAGAAAATCACATTGTATGATTTTTAAGTAATTAATTTGCATTTTATTGCATGACATAAGTATTTGATCACCTACCAACCAGTAAGAATTACGGCTCTCACAGACCTGTTAGTTTTTCTTTAAGAAGCCCTCCTGTTCTCCACTCATTACCTGTATTAACTGCACCTGTTTGAACATGTTACCTGTATAAAAGACACCTGTCCACACACTCAATCAAACAGATTCCAACCTCTCCACAATGGGCAAGACCAGGGAGCTGTGTAAATAAATCAGGGATAAAATTATAGACCTGTACAAGGCTGGGATGGGCTACAGGACAATAGGCAAGCAGCTTGTTGAGAAGGCAACAACTGTTGGCACAATTATTAGAAAATGGAAGAAGTTCAAGATGACGGTCAATCACCCTCGGTCTGGGGATCCATGCAAGATCTCACCTCGTGGGGCATCAATGATCATGAGGAAGGTTAGGGATCAGCCCAGAACTACACGGCAGGACCTGGTCAATGACCTGAAGAGAGCTGGGACCACAGTCTCAAAGAAAACCATTAGTAACACACTACGCCGTCATGGATTAAAATCCTGCATTGCACGCAAGGTCCCCCTGCTCAAGCTAGCGCATGTACAGGCCCGTCTGAAGTTTGCCAATGACCATCTGGATGATCCAGAGGAGGAATGGGAGAAGGTCATGTGGTCTGATGAGACAAAAATATAACTTTTTGGTCTAAACTCCACTCGCCGTGTTTGGAGGAAGAAGAAGGACGAGTACAACCCCAAGAACACCATCCCAACCGTGAAGCATGGAGGTGGAAACATCATTCTTTGGGGATGCTTTTCTGCAAAGGGGACAGGACGACTGCACCGTATTGAGGGGAGGATGGATGGGGCCATGTATCGCGAGATCTTGGCCAACAACCTCCTTCCCTCAGTAAGAGCATTGAAGATGGGTTGTGGCTGGGTCTTCCAGCATGACAATGACCCGAAACACACAGCCAGGGCAACTAAGGAGTGGCTCCGTAAGAAGCATCTCAAGGTCCTGGAGTGGCCTAGCCAGTCTCCAGACCTGAACCCAATAGAAAATCTTTGGAGGGAGCTGAAAGTCTGTATTGCCCAGCGACAGCCCCGAAACCTGAAGGATGTGGAGAAGTTCTGTATGGAGGAGTGGGCCAAAATCCCTGCTGCAGTGTGTGCAAACCTGGTCAAGACCTACAGGAAACGTATGATCTCTGTAATTGCAAACAAAGGTTTCTGTACCAAATATTAAGTTCTGCTTTTCTGATGTATCAAATATTTATGTCATGCAATAAAATGCAAATTAATTACTTAAAAATCATACAATGTGATTTTATGGATTTTTGTTTTAGATTCCGTCTCTCACAGATGAAGTGTACCTATGATAAAAATTACAGACCTCTACATGCTTTGTAAGTAGGAAAACCTGCAAAATCGGCAGTGTATCAAATACTTGTTCTCCCCACTGTATATACAGGGGGGTACCGTTGCAGAGTCAATGTGCGGGGGCACCGACTAATACATAACAATACAAAACAATACACTCAATCCAAACAATAAAAATTAAGAAATTAAGAAATATCAGAAAGAGCAATGTCAGAGTCCGGCATTGGTGTGAAATAGACAGTATGGACAGTATATGAACAGAAAAGGTGTGTACAGCAGTAGTTAGATAGGCTAGAATACAGTATATAAATATGAAGTGGGTAAAACAGTATGTAAACATTACTAAACACCAGTGTTCAATGACTATGTACATAGGGCAGCAGTCATTAAGGTGCAGGGTAAAGCATCGGGTGGTAGCCGGCTAGTAACAGTGACTAAGGTTCAGGGCAGGGTAGTTGGCGGAGGCCGGCTAGTGCTGACTATTTAACAGTGATGGCCTGGAAATAGAAGCTGGTTTTCAGTCTCTCGGTCCCAGCTTTGATGACCAGTACTGTCTACGCCTTGTAGATGGTAGAGGGGTGAACAGGCCGTGGCTCGGTTGGCTGACACCCTTGATGATCTTCTTAGCCTTCCTGTGACAGCGGGTGCTGTAGATGTCCTGGAAAGTAGGCAGTGTGACCCCGGTGATGTGTTGGGCTGACCGCACCATCCTCTGGAGAATCCTGCGGTTGCGGACAGTGAAATTGCAAAATATAGCCTGACCAGATGCGCTCAATGGTACAAGTTCGTGAGAGTCTTAGGGGCCAAGACGAAATTCTTCAGCCTCCTGGGGTTGAAGAGGGGCTGCTGCACCTTCTTTGCCACACTGTCTGTGTGAATGGACCATTTCAGGTTGTCAGTGATGTGCACACCGTGGAACTTGAAGCTTTTCACGCTCTCGATATGGATGGGGGTATGCTCTCTCTGCTGAAGTCCATGATCAGCTCCTTCATTTTGTTGACATTGAGGGAGATGTTACTTTTCTGTTTCCACTCCACCAGTGCCCTCACCTCCTCCCTGTAGACTTTCTCGTTGTTGTTGGTAATCAGGCCTACCACTGTTGTGTCATCAGCAAACGTGATGATTGAGTTGGAGAAGTGTGTGGCTACGCAGTCATGGGTGAACAGGGAGTACAG